GACTTAATTAAAGATGATAAAACATTTTATAGTCTTGAAGAATTAAGAGAAAAATATAATATTCATACTAATTTCTTAACTTAGCAAAGTATTAAAATAGCTGTCTATCATTTTATCTTGAAGAACCAAAATGTATTCGACGTAGAAAAAAGAACTGTTTTACCTAGTATTCCCATTAACTTAAAAATTATTTTGAAAGACAAAAAGGGAGCTCGAGAAATTTACAAAACAATTAGTAAAAATTCTACTAGACCAAAATCTGAAATAAAATGGAACACTTCATTAAATTTGAGAGAAGATACATGGAACAACATTTATTCAGCTCCTTTTATCACAACATCCAACTCCAAACTTCAATGGCTGCAGTATAGTATTAATCATAGAAACCTTGTTACAAATACATTCTTATTCAAAATTGGAAAAACTGATAATAATCTATGTTCTTTTTGCAAACTTCATCCAGAAACTATTACCCATTTATTATGGGACTGTCATCTTCTGTCAAATATAATTGAAAATTTAAGAATTAACATTATAGCTAAAAATCTTGGTCTAAGATTTGATAAAAAAGAATTCATTTTAGGTAAAACTGTATATAAACACAATAAATTTGACATTGATAACCTGATACTACTTATTATAAAACATTACATATATAAGTCCAGATGTCTTGAACAACAACTTAATTTTGATAGTGTTAAAAGTCACATTAAAGTTGAGTTAAAAGCACACCAAATTCTTTTATCTAAATGTAAATTTAAAGATAAAACTCAAATAAGTGCACAAATCCAACAGTGGTTATATTTTTGAAGTTAATAGTTAGTATTCGAGTGATTTACTTTTGTCTAATATTTATTCTATTACTCTACCTTGGCACAAAAGTATGCCTTTGTCTTTTAACACATGTATTCTCCATGCATTATATCTTCTTTACATTATCAGAACCTAGACTCATCTTGTCTATTGTGCCTGTTGGTGTAATTAGTGTGCTATTCTTATGTTGTACAATATGTTTTTCTCCATTTGTTCCATGTCTTATGTAAATGTGTTTTGTTTTGAAAATGTGAAAATGAATAAAATATAAATTGAAAAAAAAAAAGATACAAAGGACTGTGTCATTATGGTAATATTATATCAGAAATAAAAAGGATACAAAAAAAAATTTTTAAAAAAATCTTTCATTGATTTTAAAATGCATCTGCAAGGACTCGAACCTGGGACCTCTGGCTTACTAGCCACTGGACTAGAATTTACCAGGTTTACATTATTTTGCCTTATAAGAACTTATAAAAGTTGTTTTCGAATAAGACGTCACGTTGTTCTTGCCACTCTGGTTGAAAGAATAAGTCCAGCCATGAAGCTTCGTGTTGATGATAATGATATGCACCAATACTTAATTTTTATTTACTTTTAAGTATAATAATGGACTTCACTTTCCCAAATAAATCAAATCAGTGCCAGTACATCCATCATAGTGGCTTGAAGTCAATATAAGGAAATCTAATAACGACAAAGATCGCAATGGTATCAAATTGCTGATTAAAGGTAAGTATTTACATGTTTCTGATAGAAGACAGACGGACGTACCAGAGTATAATTGACCATAACACACTCTTAGGGGAGTTTACTCTTTTACACTCTTAGGGGTGTTGACCTTGTGACACTCTAAGGGAAGTTGAACTTGTCACCCTTGGGCGTGTGTGTGTGGAGGGAGGGGGTTGACTCTAACACACTCTTAGGGGAGTTTACTCTTTCACACTCTTAGGGGAGTAGACCTTGTAACACTCTAAGGGAAGGTGACCTTGTCACTCTTGGTGTGTGTGGAGGGGGTTGACCTTGTCACTCTTGGGTGTGTGTGGAGGGGGTTGACCTTGTCACTCTTGGGTGTGTGTGGAGGGGGTTGACCTTGTCACTCTTGGGTGTGTGTGGAGAGGGGGGGGTGCCCCTAACACACTCTTAGGGGGGTTTACTCTTTCACACTCATAGGAAAGTTGAACCCTGTTACACTCTAAGGGGAGTTGACCTTGTCACTCTTGGATGTATGTGTTAGGTGGGGGGGGGTACACTCCACACTCTTAGTGGAGTTTACTCTTTCACACTCTTAGGGGGGAGTCAACCTTGTGACGCTTTAAGGGGTGTTGACCTTGTCACTCTTGAGTGTGTGTGTTGGGGGACCATAACACACTCTTAGGGGGGTTTACTCTTTCACAATCTTAGGCGAGCTGACCCTGTAACACTCTTTGGGAAGTCAACCCTTTTACTGTTTTTGGGAAGTCAACTCTGTTACACTCTCAGGGGAGTTGATACTGTCACAAGGGAAGCAACAAATCACTAAATCTGCTGACACAGACAACTTCTGTAAAACCATTACAAGTTAAATAATTTATTTAGTACATATTCAGCTTCACTACTCAAAATATCATCTTGGTATGCTGTATGTTAACATGTATGCTGGAGTACTTAAAGTACAGTACATATCAATCCGTCTAAACCTGTAGGAAAAGAAATGATCTTTGTCTGTCACTGCATTACCAGTTTTGAAATGCTAGCTTTTTAACTTAATGTGTCTCAAGGTGTGAATGAAAACTGATATCACTCTCATGTACTGATTGTTTCTAGGTGTGGTTGTAGACTAAGATCTCTCATGTATCATGTGTTTCTAAGTGTGGTTGTAGACTAAGATCTCTTGTGTATCATGTGTTTCTAGGTGTGGTGGTGGACTAAGATCTCTTGTGTATCATGTGTTTATAGGTGTGGTGGTAGACTAAGATCTCTTGTGTATTGTGTGTTTCTAGGTGTGGTTTTAGACAAAGATCTCTCGTGTATTTTGTGTTTCTAGGTGTGGTTGTAGACTAAGATCTCTCGAGTATTGTGTGTTTCTAGGTGAGGTGGTGGACTAAGATCTCTCATGTATTGTGTGTTTCTAGGTTTGGTTGTAGACTAAGATCTCTCATGTATTGTGTGTTTCTAGGTGTGGTGGTGGACAAAGATCTCTTATGTATTTTGTGTTTCTAGGTGTGGTTGTAGACTAAGATTTCTTGTGTTTTGTGTGTTTCTAGGTGTGGTGGTGGCCTAAGATCTCTCTTGTAATGTGTGTTTCTACGTGTGGTGGTGGTAGACTAAGATCTCTTGTGTATTGTGTGTTTCTAGGTGTGGTTGTAGACTAAGATCTCTTGTGTATTGTGTGTTTCTAGGTGTGGTTGTAGACTAAGATCTCTTGTGTATTGTGTGTTTCTAGGTGTGATTATAGACTAAGATCTCTCGTGTATTGTGTGTTTCTAGGTGTGGTTGTAGACTAAGATCTCTCGTGTATTGTGTGTTTCTAGGTGTGGTGGTGGACTAAGATCTCTTGTGTTTTGTGTGTTTCTAGGTGTGGTGGTGGACCAAGATCTCTTGTGTATTTTGTGTTTCTAGGTGTGGTGGTAGACTAAGATCTCTCGTGTATTGTGTGTTTCTAGGTGTGGTTGTAGACTAAGATCTCTTGTGTATTGTGTGTTTCTAGGTGTGGTGGTAGACTAAGATCTCTCGTGTATTGTGTGTTTCTAGGTCTGGTTGTAGACTAAGATCTCTTGTGTATTGTGTGTTTCTAGGTGTGATTATAGACTAAGATCTCTCGTGTATTGTGTGTTTCTAGGTGTGGTTGTAGACTAAGATCTCTCGTGTATTGTGTGTTTCTAGGTGTGGTTGTAGACTAAGATCTCTCGTGTATTGTGTGTTTCTAGGTGTGGTTGTAGACTAAGATTTCTTGTGTGTTGTGTGTTTCTAGGTGTGGTGGTGGACTAAGATCTCTTGTGTATTGTGTGTTTCTAGGTGTGGTGGTAGACTAAGATCTCTCGTGTATTGTGTGTTTCTAGGTGTGGTGGTGGTAGACTAAGATCTTTTGTGTATTGTGTGTTTCTAGGTGTGGTTGTAGACTAAGATTTCTTGTGTGTTGTGTGTTTCTAGGTGTGGTTGTAGACTAAGATCTCTCATGTATTGTGTGTTTCTAGGTGTGGTTGTAGACTAAGATCTCTTGTGTGTTGTGTGTTTCTAGGTGTGGTTGTAGACTAAGATCTCTCGTGTATTGTGTGTTTCTAGGTGTAGTGGTGGACAAAGATCTCTTGTGTATTATGTGTTTCTAGATCTGGTTGTAGACTAAGATTTCTTGTGTGTTGTGTGTTTCTAGGTGTGGTGGTGGACTAAGATCTCTTGTGTATTGTGTGTTTCTAGGTGTGGTTTTAGACTAAGATCTCTCGTGTATTTTGTGTTTCTAAGTGTGGTTGTAGACTAAGATCTCTCGTGTATCATGTGTTTCTAGGTGTGGTGGTGGACTAAGATCTCTTGTGTATTGTGTGTTTCTAGGTGTGGTGGTAGACTAAGATCTCTCGTGTATTGTGTGTTTCTAGGTGTGGTTGTAGACTAAGATCTCTCGTGTATTGTGTGTTTCTAGGTGTGGTTGTAGGCTAAGATCTCTCGTGTATTGTGTGTTTCTAGGTGTGGTGGTGGTAGACTAAGATCTTTTGTGTATTGTGTGTTTCTAGGTGTGGTTGTAGACTAAGATTTCTTGTGTGTTGTGTGTTTCTAGGTGTGGTTGTAGACTAAGATCTCTCATGTATTGTGTGTTTCTAGGTGTGGTGGTGGACTAAGATCTCTCGTGTATTGTGTGTTTCTAGGTGTGGTGGTAGACTAAGATCTCTCGTGTATTGTGTGTTTCTAGGTGTGGTTGTAGACTAAGATCTCTATGTATTGTGTGTTTCTAGGTGTGGTGGTGGTAGACTAAGATCTCTTGTGTATTGTGTGTTTCTAGGTGTGGTTGTAGACTAAGATCTCTTGTGTATTGTGTGTTTCTAGGTCTGGTTGTAGACTAAGATTTCTTGTGTGTTGTGTGTTTCTAGGTGTGGTGGTAGACTAAGATCTCTCATGTATTGTGTGTTTCTAGGTGTGTTGTCTAAGAGTGTGTGTGTTTCTAGGTGTGGTTGTAGACTAAGATCTCTATGTATTGTGTGTTTCTAGGTGTGGTGGTGGTAGACTAAGATCTCTCGTGTATTGTGTGTTTCTAGGTGTGGTGGTAGGAAAGAAGCCAATGGTTTCCGGTTTTTTCATTTAAATATGTTACTTAATGTGATTTTCTCTGAGAAAATATGTCTCAAGGTGTGCTGCTTCAAACTGGTGGTTGTCATCTAACATGTGGTTTTCTTCTAAAATGTCCATCTCTTGATTTGACGGCTGATTATATTCTGTGACATGCGTCTCCTGATTGAGAGTCTGTATGTGATCTGTGACATGTATCTCCTGACTGAGAGTCTGTATGTGATCTGTGACATGTGTCTCCTGACTGAGAGTCTGTATGTGATCTGTGACATGTGTTTCCTGATTGAGAGTCTGTATGTGATCTGTGACACGTGTCTTCTGGTTTATTGGCTGATTGTCCTCTGTGACACCTGTCTCAAGGTATGATGCCTCCAGTGGATGGGTGTCCTCTGTATCAAAATTAATGTCTCCTGTCACTTGCATTCTTTCTTTCGGCCTACAAGCCTTTTCTTGTCTATGATATGTCTCAAAGTACTCCAGGAGACTATCAACTGTAAAATGAGTTGTTAGGGATGGAGAAGTGTTGTCCTCTATATGTGTCTCAATGTCACTTGATTCATTAGTCTCAATAAGAGGAACCAGTAACTGATGGCTTTCCCCTCTAACATATATATCCAGAATTGGTGCTAATGTTGACTGGTTTGTCCCTGTCTCATATTTCTCAACATGTGTTGTAACCATTGACAAACCTTGTGTCTTAAGGTGTGGCACCAAAAGTGACATGCTCTCTACTGTAGGATGTGTCTCTAGGTTTGGTTCTACAAGTGCTAGGCACTCTGTTGTAGGATGTGTCTCTTGGTTTGGTTCTACAAGTGCTAGGCTCTCTGTTGTAGGATGTGTCTCTTGGTTTGGTTCTACAAGTACTGGGCTCTCTGTTGTAGGATGTGTCTCTAGGTTTGGTTCTACAAGTACTGGGCTCTCTGTTGTAGGATGTGTCTCTAGGTTTGGTTCTACAAGTACTGGGCTCTCTGTTGTAGGATGTGTGTCGAGGTGTGGTTTCACAAGAGCGGGACTCACAATTGAAGGATGTGTCTTGAGGAGTGATTCTACAAGTACTAGGCTTTCGATTGTAGGATCTGTGTCAGGGTGTGGATCCTCAAGTGCCGGGCTCTCTATAGTAGGATGTGTCATGAGGTGTGGTGCCATACTTGTTCGGCTGTAGCTTCTTGCACACGTCTCAGATTGTGATGGTTGGCTGTCGTCTCTATGGGTGGTGTCAAGTTGTGGTGAAACACGCTCTACTGTCACATCTGTTTTGAAGGATATTAAATTATCCCTTGTGCTATGAATGTTTAGATGAAACTGAAGATTTTCAGGTTTTCTAAATCTCTTTCCACAAATTTCACACTTAGATATTGCTGATGACTCAGGTTTGGAAATCTTTGAAATTTCTCCATTATGTTGTCTTAAATGTGCCTGGAGGTATCTTGGTTGACTAAATCCATCTCCACAGACATCACACTTGAACTGTCTTTCGCCATTGTGTATTTTTAAGTGTTCCTTAAGTTTATCAGCACCTGTAAAACTTTCATTACAAATTCCACACACTTTCTTCTCCCAATGTGTCTTACAGTGTCTCTTTAGACTTTGGGCCATGCCGTATCCCTTTCCGCAGATGTTGCACTTAAATGGCTTCACTCCTGTATGTAAACTTTTATGGGCCTCTAAGTTCATTGCTGAAATGAAGCCTCGGTTACAAATTTCACATTTGTACAGTTTTTCTCCTGTGTGAGTCCTTTTATGGATGATTAGATTCCGTGACACAGAATAAGTTTTTCCACATATATCACACCCGTATGGCTTTTCTCCAGTATGTGACCTCGAGTGTCTGTGTAGGTCAGTAGATCTAGCATAAGTCTTACCACACACATCACATTTGAATGGTTTCTCTCCAGTATGGGTTCGGAGATGTGGCGTCATGTAGCTGGCCTGCTTAAATGCCATGCCACATATGTGACATTTGAATGGCTTCTCTCCCGTATGTGTTCTAGTATGATTGTGTAAATCATTGGTACGAGAGAATAATTTTCCACATATATCACATTTGTATGCCTTCTTTCCATTATCTGTCCTCTCATAATCTAACATACAAGAACGTTTTAGATGTAGGACCCCTGATGTCATGCTATAACTGTGTCACTTAGTAACAAATTATCTCCATTTTGAATGACGATAAAGGACTCCACCTAGCTGATATGGAAAATCTGTACATTATTCTCCGTCAAGAATGGTCTCAAACAAACTATCAATTCCTTTCTTTCTTCACCAAGTTTACTTCCTCGGAGTCCTCTTTCATGTATCCTTCATAGATAACATTCTCAATACATTCTGTATTTAATTCCTTCTACAACAAGAGTCCATGCATAAATATTGCTATCTCTGAAGACAGGCTGATACCATCATCAGGTTCTGAACAGCTAATTCTTCTAACCAAGTCACACACCTGAAATATACCATGAAAAAAGACTGAGACTAAGACCACACCAATATTGGGAACTTTACAGTCTCTAGACTCTCTACGGCTTCACTACAGGGAAATTCTCACCAGCCAGTAAAGTGTTCTATGTACTCTCTTTTTCTAAATACGCATGTATATAATTCTTACTTGTACTTCGTATATATAACTGCTACATTGAGAGATTGAAGACTTAAGGGAGATAACTCTAGCAGAACCACAAAATTGTTTCTCTCACTGTCTTGAAAAGACCTGTTTTAACAAGAGACCCCGGAAGGATCTTTGCATCAATTGTTGTTTGATCTTTATTTGTTCTTTATAAGTTTGATCTTGTCCCTTCTTTTCTCTTTTTTCTCTGTTAATGCTTCTAAACACATAAAATTTGAAATTCCTCTTTACAAATAGCAATAATTTAAAGTCAAATCTAAGATGGTCGCCAATCTGCCAATTAATTTTTCTGATCAGTCCTAAAATTAGACAGGCACAAAGTCCAAGGGAAACCTACAGTAGAAATTTGTGAAAGATTTATTCAGTACTTCTGAAGAAATAGCATTAACAAAATGATGTCGAAATTCAAAAAGGATGCTGTCAACACAGCCGTTTCATTCTTCATATCAATCCCAAAATTACCAGGTAAAAACTAGTGATGAAAGAGCACCTACACAATAAAAAAAAAATCCATCCAGGACTTGACAAGAAACATTGATAACAAGAATTGTTTATAGACGGACAAACAGATCACAGATGCAAGGCAATTTGAATAGCCAACCATCTAATGATGGTACATGGGCTAACCATTTTAGACTTCCTCACCTGTCACACCTGGACATGTACACGTCTAAAGACAACACCATATAAGGACAGACAAAGACAATACCCAACAGGTAACACACCAAATAAGGACATACACGTAAATGCACGGACAGTAACGAATACAAATTAAACAGGACGTTAACAGACACTTACTCCAATTTATCCTGTGACACTTGGTATCATTGAAAAATTCAAGGTAAGATATACTTCAATATACCAAATTCAAATTTATTTTATCATGTTCCATGACTCCATTGGTCAAGTACTGCTTCCAGATTGATAAAAAGTAGATATTGTAAAGCTTACATAATTGGGAATGGGGTTTATCTATTTCTAATAACACATGATTTGGTAGAGCAGAGTACAGATATCATCCACCATCACCATAAGTATTCTAATACTTTTAGGCTGGAGAATACAAATTAATTCTAGTCATTTATGTACCAAGCTGTTTCGGTTTAAAAACTTAATTAAGTACATAAATAAAAACATTCTTAAAAGTAACGAAACAACTTATTTTGGAAGTACCTAAACAACCTGGAAGTGAGACGACGCCCCCATACAAATGATACCTGGTCAGGTTTTCTTCATATCCAGTAACAAAGATTTCAGTAGACTTATATAGAATCTCTTATCTATATGTGTTCAAGAGCAGTTTATCTCCGTCAACAGCTGATATTCTGTCACAAAATCTGACTCGTGGCCAAGCCAGTGAGATATTATAGACTGTCAATTTTAGTCATGTTCTGTCAGTTTCTGTCCGATCTTGTTAAGCATCTGACACAGCTATCCTCCGAACGAAGACAGACCCATTGCCGAAGTTTCTTTTTTTTCTCTTACACCAGACGTTAGTAGCCTTTTTTAAGAACATATATACTGGTTGACTTATAAGCCAAAATATAATACTGGGTTACGATTAATCCCTTTTTGGATTCCTCATTGGGACTCAATTGTATCTGACGTTTGATATGAATGAGCCCCAAGGAGGAATCCCAAAAGCGAAAAAATTAGGTTAAGATGAGCCAGGTCCTGGAACTTCCGACGAGTTGTTCCCGAACTAAATTTCGGACAAAAAAATCAAAGAGTATGGCAGAGTAGCAGACTACATAATGATTTCTAAACTTCCCTTAATAAGTTAATGCAAAATGGTGTGTAATTTGTGTGATACCTTTTGGGGTTTAAATGACATGTTAACCTCATGTAGGCTGGTATTCCTGACGAAACCGTCTTGTTCACTGATGAAATCGTCCGAGATGATCCGAATGGATTATTGTTAGGGGTAGCACTAAAGTGCGGCACATCATGTCCTGCTATGACATTTAGTAATACTGATGACCGAATGATCTATAAATTATATGATAGAACCTAGTATTTTAAATTTTACTTTCAATGTATTTAAGTGTTATTTACAAGGGATTTCCTTCAGAAACTTTGACAATTGCAGATGAAAATGTCCCTACTGATTCACATGACAATGACACACCTGTCTGTCAAATTGTAAAATTTAAGTTTGTTGTGATACATAACTAGTTGCAGAAGCTCCATCATCTATTTTGCACACTCGTTTTTGCTTACAAAAAGTATGTAAAATACGTAATACAGTAAGAGTTTATCATCAAATTAGGGGTGATGAACTGATTATAAATATCCCATTGTAATTTGTAAAGCTGAAAAACGGACCGGTCTGCTGACGTTATGGTATCCTTGAATAAAACACTTTCCACGATTGCTCTGAACGTCATATAACGGATCTCCTGCATTCTGTTTAGTGAAGTAGCAACCACCGACTACAACACCATAGATCTACAAATTAAAATGTTTAGATTGGTGCCAAGATTTCGATCGCTAAAGAGAAGGTGTTCTACAGTAATGTCGTTATACCAGTCCAGGGATTGAAGCGTTGCATGACGGGATCGATCAAAGTTTTCATAATGTAAGAAAAGAGTGAAAATACGACTATGTCTAACTGACGATTATCCAATGACACCTTGGTTTTTCTTTGATCTTTTACTGGCGATAAATCCATACCATGCGATATTTCAGATATCACATATGTGATATCTAAAATATCGCATGGTTCTCTCTGATTGGTCCACACCTCATTAGGGAGGTGGTGCCCATTTCCAAGTGGGCGAGACAGATAAACAAAGACATAGGAATGATTTCGAACAAATCTTTAATACATAAAAAAAAAAACAATATAAAAAACAAGAGAGATTTTGTTAAATTGATATTCGTCGTTTTGACGTTAGTTAACACATTCAAACAGTTCTGTAAAAAAAGTACAACGCGTTACTTACGCGAGAATAAAGATCAGCATGTGAACACTGTTAGCACCTACATTGAACAAAAGTTCACATTGCAGTTCCGTATGAATTAAACATATTTTATTGTAAATTATTTACAAAAGGATCGGGCACAAGTTATTTCAACTTATAGTTGCCCTTTTATCAATACATTACAAAACAAAAACATCACAATATCAAGTCATCAATAATTTACATAAATATTGGCTAAATATATTTTTAAAGAGAGAGAGAGAGAGAGAGAGAGAGAGAGGTGGGTGGTAGTGGGGTGGGGTAGGGGTTAGAAGGGATGACGTCATTGGAAGTAAAATTATAAAACCTGTTGCTACTTTTTATAAAATGTTGGACGCATACCTGTTGTTGCCTTTGATGTAAATAATTTTTCAACCAGGCCAACAACTCTCCTTCTAAGTTTTGATTTTATTTTTGATTCTCTACATTTTTATGGTTTCGGGCCGTCATTTATTCAATGGATCAGAACTTTTCACAAAAATACAAATTGTTGTATTATGAACAATGGTCATTGTTCAGAATTCTTTGAAGTTCAGCGCGGTGTGAGACAGGGTGACCCTTTGAGTCCATATATATTTATACTATGTGTAGAAATATTAAGTTCAGCCTTAAAAATTAATCCAAATATAAATGGAATTACATGTACTATAAATAACTCAGAATATTTAATCAATCAGTTTGCAGATGATACATCCTTTACTTTAAGTGATAACTCATTGTCCTTAGAAACCACACTTAATATTTTGGAAGATTTTGGAAAAGTATCAGGACTTAAAATAAATTTTGACAAAACCCAGGCAATATGGATTGGGGCTAGACGGGGTTGTGGGTTGGAACTTCTACCTGAAAGAAATTTGTTATGGAACCATCAAAGTATTTTTTAAACTTTTGGGAATTACTTACAATTTCCAAAAAGAGAACATTTTTGAAGATAATTACTATGAAAGATTGAGAGCAGTGCAAAAATTACTAAAAGATTGGTCATTTAGAAATTTATCCTACATAGGAAAAATTATTATTATAAAAACATTAGCCTTACCTATTTTTATTCAGACATTAACTGTCCTTGCTGACCCTCCTTTACATATAATTAAGGAATTACAAAAATGTTTCTTAACCTTTCTATGGGAGGGAAATCCAGATAAAATAAAGAGAAATATTATGTACAGTGATTATAAAAATGGGGGGTTGCGTTTTCCACATATTTTGACTTTTTGTCACTCACTTAAGATGTCTTGGATCAAAATAATTTTTGATACCTCAAACCACTCAGCTTGGAAAACATTACTTATAGATAAACTAGAATTGGTTGGAGGTGTAAATATTTTTAAAATGACAAGGTTAGGATTAACTGAGATATCAAAAATGTTTAATACTTTTTGGAGTGAAGTATTTACAGCTTGGGCCTCAGTACAGGAAGATGTATCACAGCTTATCTTTTTCAATTATTTTATCAAAAGAGGTAACAAATGGTTCTTTTATAAACAGTGGTGTAAAAATGATATATTTTTTGTTTCAGACTTATTAGAAAATTATCGTTTTATGCCATATGATATATTTAAAAACAAATATAACATTAATGTTAACCTGATAGATTACTATGGTGTGATTAATGCCATTCCAAGGAACTGGGAAGTAATTCTGCAGAATGTAAATGTTCAAGTACTTATGGTAAATGTTCAATATAGGTTAATTGATTACCAAAATACACATGACAAAGTCACAAAGTACTTCTATCAAATTTTTATTAAATCTGTTTCTGAGAAACCTACAAATAGTCAAAGAAAATGGCAAGAAAATTTTAATACTGACATTGGTGAAGACACTTGGGAGTTAATTTATTTAATATCAAGGTAGATAACTGATGATACAAAACTTCTAACTTTTCAGTATAAAATATTACATTGGATATTGTATACAAATACAAAGTTAATGAAATGTAAACTTGCAGAAACCGAAAGATGCACATTCTGTACAAATGAAAGAGAAACGATTATACACCTATTTTGGGAATGTAATGTTGTTAAAACACTTTGGTTTTGGTTAATAGAATTATTAGAAAACAAACACCAATTGTCTTTACCTAGGAATTCAGAAGTCTTTGTTCTTGGTGTAGTAGAAATAGAACACAGATATGAAATCAATTTTTTAATGCTTCTTATAAAATACTTTATATTTTTGTGTAATTTAAAATATAAAACTGTAACTATTTCTGAATGCAAGAATTATATTTCTCAATATGAAAAAATAGAGGACATTGGGTTATATAGATACAGCCTTAGAAAACAAGAAATTATTCAAAACAAATGGATCTTTATTAATCAGTTAATAAATTAGTGAATTATCGTATTCCAACGTATTGTTAACACAGTGTCAACAAGTATGTACTTTTTTGTTTTCATATGCACTGTAATATTTTATATGCATTAATTTTAGATACAAGTACAATGTATGACGTGTAGTTATGCATGTGATGTGATTGATGTATGTGACTATTGATAAAAACCTGAATAAAAAAAATATTATAAAACCTGTTGCTACTTTTTATAAAATGTTGGACTCGTAAAAAAATTCAGAGTTTCAGGGGACAGTTGATCATTTCCATTAAGGAGCAGATCCAAGTCACAGTGAACTTGTAAATTCATATCATTTAAGCGTTGGAAAAGGACATTTCTGTGAACATTATAACGACGGCATTCGAAGAAAACGTGATAGGCATTTTCACACATATTTCCACATACACAACTATGGGTATCCACATGGTTCATCCGAAATAAGTCGTAATTAAGGGAACTGCAATTATGTCTAAGCTTAGCATGAATAATGTTTAGTTTACGGTTACCAATACCAAAGTAAGAAGGAGACAAAGGAAGATCGTCAGGTATTAATGACTTTTTGAATAATTAAGCGAGGCTGATGACCTGATAGAGCTATCAAGTATATTCCAACTCCGAAGAGTAGACGGCAAGAAAGAAGACATGGTAGTTGAAAGACGACAGAATGGGATTCTATAATTATTACTGTTTCTTGAGGGATAACGAACTTCATCTTGAACAGTAGAAGATAGTAAGGAAGATAGATATTCAGGAGTTTTGTTAGTATGCATTTTATATAAAAGATGAAGTTTCCTTCTCTTTCTTCTAGCAGTGATTCTAAACCAGTTTCAAAAGTTAAAGAATGAATATAAGCATAGGATGGCAGACCTGTGATAATTCTTGCTGCCTCACGTTGGGCCTTCTCTAGCATTTCAGATTCAGAAATTGAGCACCCGTCCCATAATTCACATGCGTCTTCTAATACAGGTAAAATAAACGTTCGATAAATTCTTAAAAGAGCATCTCTCTTTAACACAAATTTCAATTTTCTCAGAACATCAATTTTTTTCACAACAGAAGAATAGATCATTTGTATATGATCACCCCATTTGGCACTTGAGCTTAATGTTACGCCAAGGTGCCTATGATTATTTGTAAAATCTAAAATCCTACCATCAAATTCTAATTCTAATAATTCATCAATTTCGTTTCTATTAGAAATAAAGAGAACATCAGTTTTATCTGAATTAAAAGATACTAGCCATGATTTAGCCCATGCATTTAAAGATTTCAGATCATGGTTAAGAACAGTTTTAATTTCGTGACAGGAAGATGAAGAGTATTGAAGAGATTTGTCATCCGCGAAAAGACGAGAGGCTGAATCAAATACATCTGCAATATCATTAATATAAATAAGAAATAATAACGGACCTAGGATAGTACCTTGGGGAACCCCAGCATCAATACAACCCAATTTAGAGAGAGATTCATTAACGCATGCCTGTTGTTGCCTTTGATGTAAATAATTTTTCAACCAGGCCAACAACTCTCCTTCTAAACCATAGGATCTTAACTTAATAC